CATCTGTTATACCCTACTGAAGAAAACTCATTCTGGGGTAAATAAGTTAAAAATGTATTATAATTGCAAAAAATATATATATTTTTATATTGTCAGTGTTGAAGAAAGGCCTGATTTTAGATCCATGTGAGATACTTGTCATTTCGTACAGAAGCAGTTCATAAAAAGCTGTTGGAAGGTCAGCAACAGCTAATGAAATCTGTAGTTCTCTCATTAAAGCTGTGTTTCAGTACTCTTTCACCGATTAATTTAAACATCCTTCACGGAGAAAAATCAAACTAAAACATTTAAGAACTTAAGACTGGCGTTTGTGGAAGACACTGTGATTTAATAATGATGATCTTAGTGTTTGTCCAGATTTAAATGTAAGTTTGATTTAAGCTAAAAGTGTGCAATTGTTAATTACAAGGTGTTATCCTTGAAATGTGATAGTAAATTATTTTCTTTTCACTTCAGAGTGTTCCTGCATACAGAAAAAAAAATCTTAAAAAAGAAGACCTTTTTAGGTGACAGCAGCTGTCCTTATATGAGGACTGTGATACAAGAATTCCGTCCTTTTTAAATTCATTCTAGAGGTAGTTTAAGGAGTACCAAAACAGGTGTGAACAGGATATACCTGTTTTTTGTAATCCCATTGTAAAGGTATTGAACAGTCAGAAAATAATAACTGAATTAATAAAGCAATTATGTACTTTTTATCAATATCTTTAAAGACCTTATTGGTAAAGAATGTAGTTGAGCTATTCACAACAGGAATTATGGCTTTCTCCTTTTTATTAAAAAAGGTCAATGGCACAAAGTACACTATGTGAAAGTTATCTGATTCAACTGGCTATGAATACCCAGGTAGATTCATTTGTTACGTGGATGGTTGCTGAAATCAAAAAAGGTTTTATGAGGAACATGGAAATAAAAGTTTTAATAAAAGAAATAGTCCTGGATTGCCTCAATTAGCATTAGGCTATATATATATATATTTAACAAATGATGCTGATGATGATTCTGCTGCTTATGGTGTCTTTTTCCATGTATGATCCAGGAGCTCGCATAGTTGATGGTGTAAACATTTGGAAAGTAGGTTCTGAGACATGTATGACCAGGTTTTACAAAGATGAATTCTGGATTTCTCCGGGTATACAAAGTACATGCTCATCTTCCATTGTTATATCTTGATGCTCTGTCTCCAAAATAACATTGAAGGATTTGCATTTTTCATGCCACCTCAGTCTCAAAACCAACATGATACCAGCTCTTGTTTGATGGTGAGAAAGGTGAGCTTGAGGTTTAAGACTAAACCTGTTCTTGATATACCAGGCCATGAAAATTATTAAAACACAATATAGACAATTGAATATGATCTGAACTTTTTATCTGAGAGAGATCATGTGTGGTCCTGCACAGAACAGTTTGAGGATACAGATAAAAATCAGAAGATTAATAGTAAATACATATTTTGGAAAACAAATCAAAGACAGTAGTAATAATATCCCCTTATGTTTCCCACCTCCTGTTGCTTTGTGAATGTTGTTCAATTACTTCTAATGTATTTCTGTGCTATTGTTGGCACAGAAATACTTCACTGAACTGGAAGCAATTGTGCAGCAGATTCTCCACAGTTTTCCTCGTTTCTCTGGTTAAAGGATGAACTGTTGTGGTACATTTTGGCATAATTTGGAATCCTTTCAAGGTAGTTTCAGCCACAAAGATTCTCACACACATTTTCCCCTTCACAGGCATGCACTTGGCTCTCTGTCTTTCCTTCACATTTAAGGTTAATCAGAGTGTTCATTCCAAAATTATTAAACAGTCCTGTGTGGTGGTCTGTTGCTCAGGACTGTTGAAATGGTATCTTAAAACATTAATACCAGAAAACTTGATGTGATTTTCCTTGACCTGTGAAGTTTCTTGTTCATAATCTTTTAAGAATTAAAAGTCTAATTGAGAGCAGTATTTTTTTTTATAATGTTCCATATGAAATTCAGAGAAAGCTTGTAAAAGAAGCATAGGCTGTGTGCTTTGGATGCTTCACAATACAGAGGTACTGTGGCTTTACACCTTCACCAGGCTTTAGGGGCTGTTTCTGCTTGAAAATTGCAAACCTCTGCAGTGTCTGGGTCACTCCTGGCTGCCCACTCCATCACCCTTGTGAAGTGATTGCAAGTCACGGCCATGGCGCAGTACTGGTAGGTCCAACGGGAAGCTGCTGCTTATTTATATTGACTGGCTCTTCACTCTGGCCAGAGATGTTTCAGACATGAATAATTCACAGCCACTTGCACAAGGTTTCCTACCTATAAACCCACTCTCACTTCTCACCCAGTGATTTGCTATCTCTAAGCTTAAAAAAATGACTTGGTTTCCTTGATGTGTTACAGGCTGTTTTTTTCCTTTAGCACCTGGAACAGCCTCTAAGATCTTACTTGCTTGGAGAACGTGGGAAAGAATAGCATCATCATCCCGTGCTTTTTCCTAGTACCCTATTTTTCCTTCTCGTGGTACACTGGAGGAGACACAAATCTCGCCTGTTTTGTAGTGGTGCATGGCCTTTCCCTTGCGTTTGCAGACAAGTAGGAAAAGATGACCACAGCCCAGGCTAATGGGCCAAAAGCAGGGCACAGAACAATCTGGGAAGTGTTTTGGATACAGTTAGCATGAGAAGTGCAGCATGGAGAAAATGAGAGTCGTTCTGAAAGGGAAGTGATGGCCCATTGAAGGGAAAAGGGATAGGTTGTCAAGGGGCAAGAAATACATTTAATTTTTCACATGCTTTACCTCTGCGTGGACAGCCCAGCTCAGCTGCACAGCACTGCTGGCCCCTTTCAGAAAGGCCGAGGTTCAGGAGGAGGCAAAAACAGCATCCAAAACGTAAAAATACTAATAGAAAAATAACATTTTGTGAGTGTGTGTCCGTGTTAGTAGATTATTGTAGGTCTGAGGCAGAAGATGGGTCTGCAGAAAAGGTTCAACCTCAGCCTTTGGCTTCCGTGCGTGATGGAAGGGCTGGTTGCTTTTGATGGAAAAGTTTGCTGTGGGATCGGGTCGAGGTGGAGGCCCACCTAGGAGCACATTGTAGTCATTTTGGCTGAAATCCGATCCGTTTCTGAAGATTTTCATGGAGGAACCGTTTTGTCCATGAGCAGGGATTGGATGCAGTCCATGGCATCACTCCCTACAGCCCATGGCCAACAGCTTTTTCATCATTCCTGTCTTTGTGTTGTACGTGAAAAGCACCTGAAGGATATCTTCATATCCCAGTGAGGAAAAGCTGTTCCATCCCTGCCATGGACACCACAACAGTAGATTTCAAGTAAGGTTCCCCTTTTTTCTATGAAAAAAGCTGATCAGTGCTTTCCAGGCTTGTACTGTTGCTCCCGTGTGTGTGTTACTGCACATTTAACATGTTTTGCACCTCCCTAATGCTTTTTCTCCGCACTGGTTGAATAATGAAAGCTTGCTCAGCCAGAATGGTGTGAACAAAATAATTTTTGAGGGCTTAGCCTAAAAAAGAGTTTAAGTCCATAGGCCTGAAAACCAAAATCTAGAAGTGAGATGTTGAAGTTCCATCTTCAGTGCCTGAGGAGAGGGAGTGAGCTCAGGATAACCTAGATGTAAAACAATCACAATGTGCCATGCAACTGTGTGACCAAGTCCTGGTGTGGGCAAGATGCACTCTGACCATGAAAGACTTTGCATGTCAAGAAGAGCAACCAAGCTAGGAGGAGGCAACCAAGCACATGGATTTTCTCTGGCTGATCTGTGAGCATGTGGGAGCCTGAAATGCTTGTGGAAATGGCAGTGCAGGTGTCTCACCTCCTCCCTTCACCTCCCAACCTGCCAGGAGGGAATTGTCTCCCCATCTGTCAGGTGGTGGGTGGGTAGGGAACCCTGCTGGACCCCTTCCTGGCTTCTCAGGGCGACAGGGAAAGATCTGGGATATTCTACTTGCTGCAGAGGCGTTTTTGGGAAATCTCTGCAAGATGCAAAGTGAGTGAACTTCAGCGATGCAACAGGGACTGGATACGCACCTGTGTCGAATACGAGAGCCTCCTGTGAGGACTGGGAAAAGGAGAGCCTGGATTTAGTCGTCAGTATTTAACCTTCATCCTAGTTTACAGATTGCAAAACGCTTTTTAGGTTAACAGAAAGCAGTGAGTGTGTTAGCATCAGTCCTGGGGAAAGCATTTCCTTGGAAAAGAAGCGGGAGCGGTGCGGCTGCTGGGCTGTGCAGTGCTGGCTGCGGACAGCAGAGCGCACTGCTCATACAGCGGAGGGGAGGGGAGGGGAGGGGAGGGCATCGCCCCGCTGCTCTGTCGGGTCCTGGGCGCTCAGCACCGCCCGCATCCTTTCGACAACACTTAGTCCTTCATACATACAGCTTGAAGATGACTTTTATTCAGCAATCGCAGGCAGAACTGCAGATTTTGGGAAGCTAATCAGTGTGTGCAATCTGAACTCAGGCTGCACGAGCTGTGCAAACCCATCAGACACAGCACACATTCGCCCAAATTAGCACGGGTGTAACTGCCCCATCTTCGCTGCTGTTGGATGCTGATTGACGCTGGAGTCACACCTTCAGCTGGCATAGGAAAATCCCAAGAGTGATTTACAGGTGGTCATGTATCTGGTTTGTCCTTCCCCTCTGGAAAGTAACCCTTCTAATTTTTAGTCTCTTAAGATGTTTTCTGTGAACACACACAAAAATGTACATCAGGTGAAATGTTCATTTTACCGATGTGAGAGCATCTGGCTTCTCCCATTTTGTAGAGTTAGGCTTTTTCCACACATGGGCAGGTGAGAAGAAAGCAGAGAGCTAACACTTTTCCAAGAAGCTCAGGTCAATGCAACGTTTTAACAAAAATTCTGCACTAACGGAAAAAAATGTACGAGTATGACATTGTGGAAGAGGCCCTAAGTAGCAGATTGCTTGACGTTTTGGAGCCAATGTTAGAACACCAGATGGTTGCTGTTGCAGGCTAGCAAGGAGATGTTCTGCACTTACATTGCTTTGTATGTATTTTTATTTGACTTTTCAGATTTGCACTTGACATTCATATGGGGGGATTGGCAGTCACTTTATGAAGTATTACAAGAAGCAGCCATAATCAGGATTGGAATAATTTTAGTGATCTGCAAGTCCATATTTCAACAGCTGGAAGAAACAAGAAGTGTTATTTTGAAGCTTTGGGTTATTTTCTGGCAAGTTTTCTTGTGTAGCCACTTCAGAAAGGCAACAGGTTACAACATCGGCTAATCCTGTTGGCAAACCCTCGCACTTTCCAGTGTTGTAGAGCTGTCCTGAGTCCCACAGTCTGGACTTTTCACTTCAAGCAAGATAATCCTAGTGATCACTGTAAAAGGTAATTCCCATGTCTAGCTGCACATTTATAAAGCAGCCAGCACAGCAGAGCCTTCAGGTGCTGTTGGGGACACAGACGGTGAAGAGAGGAGTGAGGCTGGAGTACACAGCTGAATAGCTCTGGTCCTCCAAAGACTGATGAAGCTATAGGGTAAACCCTAACAGGCTGCGGGATTTGGACCCTTGGAAAGAATTTGGGATATGACAGCAATCTGTGCTTATTTCTAAACTTTTGGATCCATTTTCTTTCAGCTGAATCGTGATGACTGCTGGGGGCAGTCCAGTTGAAAATCTGATGAAATAACATCTTCCAAGTTTCCAAGACTGCCTTCTATAGCCCAACTCCAGCTTGCACTGCTCCACTGCTGGCACCTTCTCCAGAGCCATACCACCTGTGTTTGACTTGGCAGGTAGTTAGCTCTCCTCTTTCCCTCTCCTAGGGGTCAATCTTAGACCAGGAGACTGCAAACCCTGCCTGTTCCCTAGTTCTTGCCTCTGCCCCTAAATGCTTTTGAAAAGAGAGGAGATCAAAATGGAGGCAGTGTCCCAGAACCTAAGGTCTCAAAGGACAGGCTATGTATTGCTTGTGCCACAAAACATAGCCACCTGTCTAGGCGAATTCACAGGGCCTGGTGTTCTTACCAAATTCAGTTTATGTGCCTCATCTTAGATCTGGATCGACAATCTGGACTGGTCCAGCAAGTACGTAACCCTGGAGGCTGGCTGAACGGTGACCTGGAAAGGATGAGAATGACACACAGGGTATCTGTGGTTTTTCAAGAACACGTAAATGTTGCACTTTAAGTGTTAATGTGTTAAAGTATGAGCTAAAGGTAATGTTACCACGTCTGTTTTCAAGGCATTTTAGATGCCAAAATGAGGAGTCCTAAATCCCTTAAAGACATCATGCTTTAAGACATCAGGAGTGCTTTGGAGTGGCTCCTCCTGAGCACTTACCCTTCCTCTCCTTTCTTGGGCTACACTGTCCTCTGCAGGGGCTGCTAGGAGAGCAGACGGCCACCAAACAGTGCACATACACCTGAGAAGAAGGAAAAGTACCACTTGGTCCATATCAAGTCCCCCTTTGCAGAGCAAAGTTTTGTCTTTCGTTCCCCTTTTGCAGAAGTTGCAGCTGATTAGACTCAGGCCTGGCTGAATGCTTGCATATGGTGCATTCTGCACACATTCTAGCTGAACCTGCCTTGAATTTCGACTTTGGTGTCAAAGAAGCCCTCAGGCAGTTTGGTAACTGAGAGGCTGAGACAGGAGGAACGAAAACCTCACAAGCTGCAGCGAGGCTGTGTATCAAAGCTAGACAGAAACTCAATCTCGTGCTAGATGCAGCTGCCCATTTAGGAAGTTGCACATGCCAGAATTGCATCATATTAATTTCTAGCAAGTTCACAAGTTGAACTGCTCAAGGCCAAGTCAAAAAATCGTTGTTACTTAAGCTGCCTGGGCAGGGGTACTGCCATGGCTTGTTTCAGGACATGTGCTAGAATCAGCTCAACTGGGTGCACCAGGAGCACAGCACCCTCAGGTGACTGTCCGGTGCTTTCTTTGCTCTTCTTAGACCTGTGAAAGGAAGACAGAACCTCAAAAGTGTAAGGTCAGACCCACATGTCTTTGTTTCCCTGCCTGCTGGGCTGCTGTCTGAGGAGACGGCTAAGTGGCTGGGCAGATGGGAGACAACAGAGCTGAACTTCATGTGGATGCTATGGTGCATAAGTTGACTTTTCTGTTCTAGACATTTTGAGCTGAAGTGCTATGAATATGCCCCTATAAAAAGTCAGAAACACCATATAAAATCATGTTTATATACCAGAATTTCATTTTGTTTCCTCCAGCCAGTCCACTTTCAAGTCACTGAAATCATATTGCAGAGTAGATCTGAGAAGAGAACTAAATTAAAGCTGCACACCAGTCAGGCTACTTGGGCTGGATGCTGGCTAGGTCTTAAGCCTGTGAGGTGTTTACATTGGCTGTTTTTTTAAGTGATCTTAAGAAGAGTACATAGAGTAGGGTCCATAAATGGTGGGTGAGCCTTGCACTAAATCTTACCTGTTCCAGCTGATGTGTCAGGGTCCTCACTGCTAGCCTTTTAAAATGAGAAGGGTGTCTCACTCTGGGGCTAGCAGCTACTGAGAGGAACTCTGCAACATACTCACTGCTTTTAATCTCACACCTATTTGAGAAAACAGACCAAAAGCTTTATAGAAGATCAGAGTTTCTCTGATAAAAACATTGGTTGTTCAATAACTACTTGCCCATCCATGGCGATGTTCCATCTTGGGGCGCTGTTGAAGTCCAGAGACCCCGTCACCCAGCAGTTGTCCAGGTATAACTCAGCATCAGGGCTCTCATCTTTCAGCTCCACCTCGAGAAACACAGACTCCATGGGTTGCTTGAGTATCGCCTCATCAGGCTCATAGAAATCCATGAAAGACTCATCTCAAGAAAACATCAGGGGATTTTGTTATTGGTTAAAGTTTGACTTAAATCACAGCATGTTTGGAAATGTTATGATTTTCTTTGAAGGACACCTACTTTTGGACACTCTTGAAACTACATTCAGGGCTTTTCTTATCCTTCTGTATACTGCAGAAAAGGAAATGTTGGTGAGGTTCTTTAGCAGGAGGCAGCTTACAACTGAAAAAGTCTCAGGAGTCTTGAAATGAAGGAAGAGAATTGCCTACCTGCAATATTTGATCTTGGCACCATTGTACCGGAGCCAAAAGGACGTGATGTGGATGGCTCACTAACGAAGGCACCTAGCATCACGGTCTCTTTTGCTCGGTAGTAGCACGAGACTGTTAATCTATAATAGGAAAAAGGGCAATTTTTGTGTTCACTTTCCAGCACCAAAGTGAGTGTCGTCAGTGAGCAGAAGCTGCTCCTACCTGTAGTCTGGATCTCTTGTGATTTTCGGCTGGCTCTGGCCTGGAAGAGTCTCTCTCTCGTAAGAGATTTCATTTTCATAAACAATGTGATCACCTTCAAACTGTGCATATGGGAAGCTCATTAAAAACTGAATCTTCTCAGGAGCTGGGGCAGGGCAACAAATGAGAAAATGCAGGAGAGACAGAGACTTCCAGCAGGTGTATTTGCTCTGGCCATGGGCTTACCCTTACTGAAGTGCCACAGGTGGTGACATGGAACATGAAGAAGGCATGTCCTTTGTTATACTCTTTAGGCTTGCATGAGCTATCCCTTAGTTTGGTTTTACTCATATCAATGGCAGGAACTGTCTTCATCTGAGCAGATATCATTATAGTACCATCTGGGTGGCATACTGAGGAAATCAGAGAGCTGGTTATAAACTCAAGGGAAGACTTACAGATCTTTTTGTTGACTGATTGTCTGTATAACTTACTTATAAATGCTGAGGGATTAAAATTGCAGCTAACGGAGAATATCTGTAAGGTCTCCATAGTTCTCACTTTCCTTAGGGCAACATCGAACCTTGCTTTAATTTTCTGAAAGGACACTTCCTGTGAAGGAGGGGTTGGAAGAGATCTCCTGTTAAATCACATGATCAATAAATACAAAATTCTGCTCTTCAGCTTGTGCCACTTGAACACCAACAAGTCACGAGAGTTAAGGCAATGTAACAACTCAAACCTCACGCAGCACGGGAACACGAGTTTTCTGGTATGAATTAATTGGTTACTGTCACAGAGAGATAAATTCTGGCTGATTATTGTAGAATGCTTCAGATATTTATTACTACATCAATTTTCCCTGCCGTAATTTAACATTTCTACAAAATGTTCCTTTAAAAGAGTTTCTTTCATAAAAGCTGTATTGAAATACTGTTTCTGGCTTGGTTTGGGACATTTTGCCTCATCTTACTAAAAATACAGAGGAATTTGTTGTTGAAGACTTGGTGCGTATCTTTTAGAGACAACTCAGCACTGCAGATTACATAATATATGACATTACCAGAAGGGTCTGTGTCTGTTATGTCTTGTCCTTCTTGCACTGGCTTAGAGTCATTCCCCCTAGAGGTTTTCCAGCACACGTAATACTGCAGCACTACAATCTGACTGCAGGGCTGTGCCTTTGTGAGCAGAGTCCTACGTGCTTTAAAGAAGGCTGTTACGCAGTTCACGTACCTCATAGATAACTCCCACAGCAAAGAGAGGTATTTGCAGGACCAGGTGGGTCGAGTTGCTAGCTGCAAGGTACCCATTTGTGAGCGCCGTGTGCTGGTTCAGAAGCTTGGCACCAAGATACAGGTTCCAGTACTGGTGCAGGCCAAAAACGGGAATGGCTAGGTACAGGTTTTCTTCATCGCAGTAGCCAGTTGCTTCTGGTATTACTGTGGCAAGAAGGTGGGATGAGGAGTTAGCAATGAATGAGGGTTTGGCATGGGTTTCCATCACGGGTAAATGTTGCACTGGCACCGCAGCAGTGCCGCTACGCGTGTACTGGCATCGCCTGTGCTCTGTTGGCCATGATGTGGGTGGAACAGCCCGCACTCGGCAGGATCGGGAATCCTCACGCTTTAGCAGTGGCCTGCCAGCTTGCTTCCAGGATTGCTCCCTGTTTCTGTAATGCAAGCTGAACCATGTATGTAATTTTTATTTTTATTTTTTTGTCAGCCTCCTCTGGGTTGAACCCAGAGCTACTTCCAAGATAAAAACAGGACAGTGAGCAGTCTCTGTCACCTTTGTGGCATCCAAAATCTAATATGTTTGACGAAATACCAACTGGACCTCACGGCAGTTTCAATAACCTGTTAAGTGCAGCTCTTAGCAGATAATTTTCTCTTTATGGAAACGCTGCCTTTGGAGTTCACAGAGATTTGAGTCAGTTGAGTTTTGCCCTGGACACGGAGGCAGAATTGCATTTGAGGACAAACTGAAACTCATAGCAATGTCTGAAAGCTTTGCCAGTAGATATATGTTCAAGTTATGAGGCATCTTGTTCACTGAGTTTGCTAGCCAACTTCTTTTACACGCTGGTTTTTATTGCTCTCAGTGTCTCGAGGGCAGACTGTCTTGCCAGTATGCAGAAGAGCTGCCATCAGAAAAGCAGCAAGTTGGCTATGGTACCAATAATGAGCTATCGAAGGGTGGGGTTTTCCCAAAAGCTCTCATCCTCTGCCTAACTCCATTCTCACTGAATTCAATGAAATCCACGCTGTTGATGCAAAACAGTTAATACCGGGGCAAAGCTTACCAATATCAGCAATCACGCATTCCACCTCTGCAGAATGGTAATAGAGCACCATCTCCGGACCCACGCTTAGGGTGTAGTTAACAAGGAGGGTATATTTTGTTTCATTTCTATTCACGTACTGAAAGAGAGAGAAAATGTAAGGCTGCAGTAGCAATGGATTCCAGCACAGACAGGAATGTATATCCCGAGCAGCACTAAATAATTATTCCAGCACCCTCTGCTCCCTAGCAAATAAGTCTGTCTCCAAAAACATCGCTTCAGTTGGCCTAAAACTACTCAGAAAGCTGGACTGGATTCAACAGCTCTTTTGGCTAAACATTAATGTGGAGAATGTAGTGCCTGTTCAGAAAATGGAGGCAGAAGTGAACACGGTGCTGTTTCCTCTGTAGTCCACTGGTGAAAGAGCCCGAAGAGGGAGGTCTGGATTCAAATCCTTACTCTTATTTACTCAGAGTGGGGTCTGAACCCGGGACAAGGAGTAATCAGTAAGACGGAAGGTATGAGGAGCCGCTACAAGAGATCTCTCAGTATCCTTATTTACTTCAGTAAAAGTGCTCTCAAAGCAAAACTTGGTACCCAACCTGAAAGGAATACTTAGCTTTGCTGAACATTTTTGGCTTGCTTTGATCCTTAATGCAATTTAATTGTGGTTTGACTGCTGTCTGAAAATTATTTGTGCAAGTCCTGATCCTGTGTGTTCACAGTGTTGTTCCTTGTAACAGAAAATAGCATTGAAGCTCTGTGTGATTTAGCTGAAACAGGGGTAGAGGACTTGCAGTTAAGTGCCCTCCTGCTAAAATGAGAGGCTGAATTTCCTCAGTGAGTTTATACTTTTCACAAATATTTAGATTGAAAAGGGTCTGTAGCTTAACAAAATATGTTCAGAATAACCTAAGTCAGCCTGTACCTGCTTATGAGGTGCATGGCCTGTGCCAGCGATCAAATGGCTCTGCATAAACAGTAGGTTCTGGAACTACTGGATGGTGGAAACTGCTGTTTGCAGGATTGCAGTAGTTGATTTATTTTTCCAAGGCTCTTCTGTTTCAAGGGACATTTAACAGAGATTTCTTCCTGCTGGGCGTTGCTCTTGAAAATTAGCCATGCTGACAGAGACTAAAGGAAGTCATACTTCATACTATCTTATCACACTGGATGCTGCTTTTCTCCTAGAGGCCTAGGGAGAGCAAGGTGGGGACATACAAACCTCTTATCTTAACTCAGATGAGTTCAGGCTCATTGACACCTTTACGATCGAGGAACAGTTGTTGGTTAATAAAAGCCAGGCAGATGTTCTGAAAAGGAACTGCTCTACCTCCTCCACTCAGCTGCTGAAGTGGCCTGCTGTACCTTACCTCCTTTAGAACACATGGGTCATCAAAAGAGACTTCCAGGATAAATCCTTTTGTTCCATTTGAAAAAGAAGTTTCATAAATCTTATACCCATGGTGCTGTGCTTCTCTGAGGGTAAATGGCACATTTCCTATTGTGATTGACACCAGGGAGACATCAGGAAGAAAGTGTCCAAATGCAATATTAAATATCCTTTCCTCTGGCAGAGTATCTGTAGGGAGAGAACATCAAATTACTGCTGATGTGGATCAAGTAACTAAGACAGTTGGGGTGGCCTCCCATTCATGTTCCAGGAAACTTCGCCAACAGCCATCTCCTTAATGGCTCTGATTAATGACTGTTTGTGTTCTAGTCAGATCTGAAATACTCTGAGTACATGAGAATTGCTTCAAGCTGCAGGAGATTAACAACAAATACATACAACATCACAGAAAGTGGGTTCAGTAACTTTCTAGAGGTGCACTACCACATGCAGTGCCTTCACTATAATGAAATCTAGGATCTAGTTCAGCCACATAAAATATGGGAAAACTATAATGTATGCTAGGAGGTTATTTTTTTTTTTTTTTTTTTTCTTTCCCCTATATCAGTTATCCAGTTAGCTCCAAAGATGACTAGTGTCTTAATGCATTGGAAAATGTCATTAAAAGCAAGCAATGCAGCATCTTTATTCTAGTGCCCAGTGTCTACTGGAAAAATATGTTGGCTAGAGTGACAGAAATGTTCATGTTTTTATCAGAAACTCATAAGTTTCATTTTATCTCATAAAGACAGGTGATAGATGGTACATCCATTCAGGCTAAACATTTATTTTGTTTTATAATACCTTGAATCTTGATGTTAGCTAAAAAATTGGAAGCGGGAGTTGAGAACATTATGGTGAATAAAGGTATATGGCAGAGGTCAAATGGACCAGGGTATATTGCAGCACAAGGAAGAGACAGGGAAAAGTCAATGAGAAAAATGACTTACTGTTGATAACAGTTGGTATTTGTGGCATGAAAGGGGTAGTGATGGATTTGATGATGGTATATTTAGTGGTTTGCCAGTCTGCATCTGTCCATGTGTGCTCCAAGAACAAGTCAATACTGTAAATGATTCCATATACACCACAAGATACAGAGCTCTAGGAGGTAAAATTTGTGTTAAGCTTTAAAACTCAGTGTCTTGATGGAGGAAAGAGTGAATAAGGTTAAAATTCGTACACTAGAAAGAGCAAATGGTATTTTAGGACAATTTGGGATGTATTTTGCTAGGTGGGGAGCTTGTTTGTTTCTCTGCCTGATCCATTTGTCTGGTCCATGTTTGACTCAGATACTGCTGTGATTCTCAATAAGGAGGTATTGGGGTTGGGAGGTCCTCCGTAAGTTTAGTAAGTAACCATATTTGCATGTGTTTTTTTTGCAGTCACTGGGCTACCAGTCACGTCTCAGTTCACTTGGACAGTTTGTCAGTGCTTCCAGCCGTTCTTCAGACTGTGTGTGTCTGGTATTTCTGTGCACACTGTGGTGTAAGTGCCCACTGGTGTACCAAAAAGTGAACTTCTGAAGGGGACAAGTCAAAGTCACATCAATGTCACCTTCGTAACTGTAACTGGTAAAGAGCCTTCTGTGAATCCTGCCAGCTCCTTTCTACTTGAACATTTCTTTGGACATTGTCTCTGTGCTCATAAACTACAGATTGACATAGATTATACTGTGTTGAAAGCAGGTGGCTGCGTCCAAATTACGTTCTGGAAGTAAATCCTGTCCCTTGCTAACTCATACTGTCTGCATGGAAATTGTCTGGGAAGTTGCTCATTAACCCTGGCCAGACGTATGCCAGCACCAGTTTCATAATGTAAGAGCATGCATGACTGATCAGTGCTGCCCAGGAATCCCTTCCCTCCTATCTTAGTGTAGTTAGTATAGATTATCAAGAAACAAAACAAAACAAAACAGTCTAGCATGTTTTGTGATTAGAGATACTTAATTTCTGCATAAGTGCTTTTGAGATACAGAGAAGGGAGCATGTAGGTCTTCTGATATTTCTTGCATGTAAGAATTTTAAGCACCAATTGCTATTTGGAACACTGTTTGGAAACGTCTTCCATGGTGCATCCCCTAAAATATGTTAGTCAGAGACAGGTTCATACTAACCTTTAGTTTGCCTCCTTCTGCTCCAATAGGGATCGTTATTCCAATGTGTGTCTTGTTGTGCTCCAGTAAGTAGTTGTTCTCCTCTGGGTTTACTATGACTTGGCCATCGACTCCCATTGCAATGTTTTTTGACAAAAAGGTGGATTCTTGAAGCACTAACGTTGGGATAACACTTGGCACAGTCCATGTTAGCGTAGTGTCAGTGAAACTGATACCATCTGTTGAGTTAGACAGACAGTCCCACAAGGCCCCCAGGCAGTTGGAGTTCCCCGTGAGTTCACCCTGCAATGGTTGTCTTTCCCTGACTCCTTTCCACCACAGAACCTCTACAGCTTTCACTAATGAAACACTTTGTAGTCCATTAACCAACTGATGGCTGTTCTGTCACAGCCATCACACCTGACACTCAAAGTAGGCTTGAATCACCAGTTTCAGATGAGTAATTAATATATTCAGAAGTACTGACAGTTGGGCTCCCCCTTACCTGTTGTATTGTCTTTCTGGTCATAGGAATTTTGTCTTGCTGGCAAAGGAATGAGGCATGGAGCCACTTATTTGGATTTTTTTTTCCTTGAAATAACAGTCTCAAGATTGTGACAGCTTACGACCTCCTCCTCCCTCATCAGTTAATCAAATTAATTGATGAAATTAATTGTTCAAATTGATCTGAGAATTTTTTTTCTGCAAAAAGCTGGGCTAGTTCCACATCTCCACAGAAGAGGACTATGTGAGTTCCAAGGATACAGAGCTGCACCCCCGTGCGGAGTTATGTGACAGTAGAGAAACAAAGCAGTGGGGTTAGACCAGGGGAGGCTCCCTGGCCCTTCTGCATGTAACTTGGGGGTTTGAGAAAGCAGAGAAAGGCACAACTGCACCATGAACACAAGTAATGTAGTGTCACAGCAAGGAACCTATTTGTCTGGCATTAAAGCCATGGGCTGTTAGCTTGTGTGGCTTGGAGGGCAGCTTGTAAAACTCTTACAGGGTAAGTCATAGGGAAATAGGGAGACTGTCTTTCCTACTAGCTCCTTAAGTAGTTAATTTTGATGAACAAGGAAGAAGTCCTTACCAAGAGGACAGGAGACAGTTGTGTCAATCAGCATAAGCAGCCACCGCTGCCTGTACATGGAAGTGGAGGTGACCAAGTTCATATTTACACCATTTACCTTTTGGGATGCAGGAAAAAAAAAAAAGGCAAACTGATGTTCTAGGGAGGTAGTGGAAGCAGTAGAGTTTTGTGTCCAATTGAGAAAAACAACTTACTGTGCTGATGTCAGACTCATTGCTGTGGTAGGGTGCACGGAGGTACACGCGGTACAGCGTGTTATTGAAGCTGTAGCCCAGTTTTGCTGCATCGCTTACCATTATTCTCTTTCTCCCTGATGGAGAAACAAACATCAGTTGCCATAGCTGGTATGCAACATTTTGAGTCTGCAAGAGAGAGATGAGCTGCATCAGATCAAAATCTACCAAAATCCCTTTAAAACTGTGGTGTTGTATCATCTATTTCCTACTAGGATCTTTAGTAGGTGGTGTTGCACTGGGCAGTACTATTCCACCCAGGCAAGAAACACTATCAATATATAAAAAACTAAGGAATTCTATAGCTTTTTAAAGTGTTTTTAGAGATAGCCTTATAACTGCCCTGGAAGAAACGTAGATTGGTGGTCTTGATCAAGATCCAACAATCCTCAAGATCCATCAATCGTAGATTGGTGGTCTTGTCCAAGGATCACTCCTTGGACAAAATGCCTATATTGTTAATAAAATGATTGCCTTTGTGTGTGTCAATTTCTAGAACAGTCCAGTGTCCAAATGACAGACCACCTTTTATCATATGGAGCCATACTGTGTCAAAGATGAGATGAGAGAAATGTCTGTACAGGTCTAGAACAGTCTTCTTCTCAAATGATAACTATATGAGTGGATAACCAAAAGGAAAAATGGGCATAAGAAGAAACATAACATGGGACTAAACATGGGCAAGACATGAGAAAAATAGGATAAGCATATGTATTTCCCCCAAGTGTATGTATTTCCCCTCTAGCCTCAAATAATCTTCAGCTCAGACTCCTAAGCGATCTGTAGCTTCTTTCTATTTTGCATGGATTATTTTGCAGTGGATTTCTCTTCTGTGAACTTTTCCAGACTAACCTTGGGACCAAGCAAGATTTTAGCAGCCACATCTTTTGACAAGGCATTTGAGTGATTTGCTACCCATTGTGAGAAGAACCACCTACCTTTGTTGGTTTTGTACTCAACTTCCACCAACATAAGAAGCATATGGCTCTACTCTCCCACCTAAATGTCTTTCTGCAGTCTAGAGCTCTAAGAAAACTGGAGAGGTTTTTCAGTACTTGATGACAACTTTTCTGTATCCCATTTATGACAGAGGTGGAGCTATTCCCCAAGGTTAAGGACTCATGAGGTTAGCAAGAAGAGGCAGGCTGGGAGCTGCTAGGAAAGACTCCCCTTCATACCTCTGGCAGGGCTGACATCCATGCGACGGTGTAGTCATTTGAAACTGCAGGGACATCAGTCTTCACGGACACCTGGAAACACAGATGAGATTGTCTGGGAACAGACAAATCTTCAGCTTTACTACAGGCATGGGGAGCAGAGAGAGAGATTCAGAGAGAGGCAGAGAGAGGCTTTCAGATTTCTTCTCCAGTGTCTGTCAGGATTTAGCAAGTTGCATTCACTGGAAGTAATAAAGTGTTTCCAGACAGGTTCTTCACTGTGGTAAGTTCTGTGACCTTACACTGGAGGTTAAAGCCATGGCATCTGCAGCAATGTATGTACAGAAGAGGGAATGTCTTTGTGCATGACCAGGTTCTGTTTCTTATCTGGGAAGCTCTAGACTAGATCACACTCTGGAGACTTTCAGGGGCATCAGGATATCTCTGTAGAAGTTATAGGGAAACAGGTTTTTACAGAACTGGTTCCCTCTTTCCATGCAGGCTAGATACCCTAAAATGTAGGACCTCCATATCTGCTGGCAGCAGGTTGAGCATTCAACTAGTACCACCCAGTGGGAGGCAGGTTCTGTCTCACTCCTCTGAGTTGTCTGATGCTGCAGGGGTGCAGCTCTGCCAACTCCAGGTTTTGTTATTTCAAATAGAAGGATAACGCTCTCGTGGGTGCTGCAGTACTTCATAACACAGAAGTATTCTCCTGAGCTAAACAGGTTGGCTGCTGGTCTGCCTGGCTGCTTATTTGCTTGCAGTGGCTTGACTTACAGCACCTGTACGCTTAACTGAATTTAACTGCATGCAAAATACCTGTGTTCACAGGTAAGTGCATTATTAATAAATCTACTGTTGTACCCTATGCTGAATAGCTGCATGCACGCCTGGTACATGATGTAAAAACAGCTTCTGATGGGAGTTTGTGGAGGTTGCTGTGCTTGGCAGGGAGCTTAGATGGAGCTTAGCCTTCAGTGGGAAAACTTTTACCTCCATGTAGTTTTCTTCACACACAATTTCTCTTGGAGCCCAGGAGGAGTAAGAGCAGTACATAGGGTAGGTGTAGGTCACAGCTGCCCTCATGCTTGCAAATGAGGAGACCTTGATGTTCACAGTCAGTGAAAACAGCTCATCTGCCTGGGAAGGAAAGTAGGAAATTCAGCAGATCATGTGGAAGGCCCAGCTCATACACAGCCAGGAGCAGCTGCACGGGACCATCCAGCCCAGTGTCCTGTTTCCAAGAGGGCTTGGAGGAGGTTAAAGTGGTTGGAGGAGCACTGAGGGCATGTTTACAAGGATGAGAACAAAGCTGTTGTGAAAGTTCCTCCAAAATATGAGCATGTCTTATGTGGTTTATGCACAGCGGCTTTCTGAGCCAGAGACATTGTCTCAGTACTTAGAGCCTTTGCCTCATGTCAAATCCCTGCAATATTCTTCCCACAGCATTCAGGTGCAGCTAATCAGGGGAAGATACTTTATTTTACATTATCTGACCTTCCTCACTGTATGGTTTGTGTTTTTCCCATTCATGACTGCTGTGTGCCTCTTCATGGAGGCAAAGTACCAGAGATTTTGGTTTGGTGTAGGTAGTTCAGGTCTGTCTTAAAAATGCTGTTTAGTGTCCATCTTGACTGACTCCACTAAGAGCTCCTCTTGGTCCTTCGGCTCTACAGGAGCCAAATGTGAAGCCATGGACTGTGCTTCTATCTGACATAGAAGTGTTTTTATCTACAGAAAAGCAAACAAAGGCAAAACTTTTCCAGAGAAATGTCTAGTCTGGAAATTCTGGTTGTTGCATAGCACTGCGTACTCCCTGGGTTCACGTCAGCATAAGATTTACCCATACAGCTTCACCTTTTTTTTTTTCTTTTTCTTTTTTTCTTCCTTTTTTTTTTTTTCTTTTTTTTTTTCTTTTTCTTCTGTGGGGCTTCCAGGATCAACCAGACTAAACATGGACAACAGATGAAAGTTCTGCTCTGATATATTCTGTTTCTAGGTTCATTTCATCTCAACTAATATTTAGAAATTAGAAATCCAGGCTAAACTTTTACATGTATTTTAGGAAGGAGTGAATCACCTTCCGGTAGATGCCTGTTTCTCTCCATTGACTATTGTGGAAGCATAAACAACCAGTTTAGACCAGACATTATCTTTCAGATGGCTAAAGTTACATGAGGCAAATTTGGGCCTAATAGATGTGTGTGATCTACGTTCCTAGGCATGTGTTAACAGGAACATTACCACACAAATTAAGCCAGGAAAAGATCTGCCAGAATCACATTGCAAATGTTGCTTTTTCAAGCAGATGCCTACTTCTTTCCAGAGAGGCTTTCAAGAAACTCTCTGGCAAAGCAGCAGCAATAAGGATATGCTTGAGAGCTGGCAGCTAGTCAGCAGCATTAGGCTAAGTGTCATTTCATGGAGAGAGGAAATCCCATGTCAGTCACACTGAACAAACCACATACCGAAGAGCCATTGCCTATTCGTTTCTACACACCATCATCAACGCTAACTCAAGTTCACTGTTTCTTGGGTTCTCAAAACATGCCATTGGAATGCCATCTAATATCTCTATCTGGCCTTGTTGAAGGAGCTGTACCATCTGATGTGGATTTTGGGCCATTTCTAGGTCTTACCTCATTGGCCACGTGGCAGCCAAGCACCGACGCACGGAAGACGGGGTTGCCCCACACATCTTCTGAGAGGACGTAGCCACAGCGAGACGCCAGTTTCTCATCCAGCAGAACAGGGCCGGCATAAGGATCTGCAGAAACAGGGCATTGAAGAACAGTGTGTGGGATGGACAGCTTGGGGCAAGTCGGCCTGCAGAGCAGTACTGAGGCCTCCTCACCTTGCTCTCATCAGAAAAGAGGTCCAGCTGGGTTGGGTGTTCTCCAACAACATGTGTTGTTAAGGAGCTGGCGAAGCTGTGCTGGTATGTATTAGAGTGAATGTGATGGTCTGTCATGTCTCAAGCTCACCCACATCACATTCACTTTAATGCCCATTTCACTGTGTCCAGGAGCTTGTGCCACAGCCACCTCGAAGTACTGTTACAGAGAGTTCCCCCGAGGCATCACATATATGTCTCCTCCCCTGAGTTTACTCTCTAAAAAAAGAATTATGGGCCATCCATTTCTAAAAATCCTCAAGTTGTGGTAATCGGCTGCTCACTCTGATCAAAGGATTCACTTTGGATGGGCAATTCCACAAATTGGTCAGGTTTGCTCATCTTGGCAGGGTGCTGTGTGCTGTTAAGCCTATGGGGAAGCCAAGTAACAGGCACATTGGGAGCTGGCTGTGCTCAGCTCTTGGTGCTGGTAGAATTAATAACATTGTATTCTGTTAATTATCTGCTCTTCTGATTAAGGAGCTATTTTGGTCTTGGGTTAGACACAAGAATCTGTACAAACAGATAGGGTTTAACTAGCTGCCTTTGTAATTTCAAGATTTATCTGTCATCTTTATATGTCGAACAGTACTAATAACTGCTGTTTCAGTAGATGTATTCTTGCAGCCAGGATAGACTAAGGAGATAAGTGAGAGGAATTTTGGAAGAAGAGAGAATAGCTTTTATGAGACCAACTGATAGAGCTGGAAGAAACAAACAACCTTTTTATGCCTGAAGGCTTGTCTGCTTTTCCCAGCAATATCAGTTGCTCTCATAAAAGCTATCACTTCTCTCCACACCCTTGCTGTACTTGACTTTTCAGTTCTGCCTCCAAATCAATTGAAAAAAAAAAACATGAAACCCAGAAAAAGTGGACTGATCTCAACAGAAAGAAATCTGTTTTGGGGTCAAATCACATACTTTGTTCAATTTGATGTGAACATTTGCTGTTTTTCATTTTGGTTAAATAGGTTTTTGTTTTTCTCAGCAAAATGGAGACCCTTTGTTCAATCTGATATAGGGCATTTTGTGACCATTGTGATGTTAAATAAGAAAAGAAAAGAAAAGAAAAGAAAAGAAAAGAAAAGAAAAGAAAAGAAAAGAAAAGAAAAGAAAAGAAAAGAAAAGAAAAGAAAAGAAAAGAAAAGAAAAGAAAAGAAAAAAGAAAAGGAAAGAAAAGGAAAGAAAAGAAAAGAAAAGAAAAGAAAAGAAAAGAAAAGAAAAGAAAAGAAAAGAAAAGAAAAGAAAAGAAAAGAAAAGAAAAGAAAAGAAAAGAAAAGAAGTCCTTTAATTGCTCAAGCAACTCATGGAGAGTGTGTTCTGTGGGTATTAACCAGCCTCCAGAGTGTTGTTTTCGGGACAATGAAAGCCAAATGTCAGCCCTTCCTTATCTGACCATCCTTTCTCCTTTCCCCTGGCACATTAGACGTAAGAAGCAAAGGGGGACTGTGGCTGTAGACACAAGCTTTGCTCATCAGTAGGGATATTGGCCAAACTGAGGTGCCAGAGGCTGGATGTAGGCAGCAAAGATGTTCTGCTGGTTATTTGGGATAAGTGACCAATTATCACGTAGATAACAGCATCCAGATCACACACACTGTGGTCATGTAGGTGATTCCCCAAACTTCATGGTGCTCAGGGCAGACACTTGTGACTCACCATTGATTTCCAGCTGGAAGAACTTTCCCTGGAGCAAGAGTTTATTCAGTTTCATCCAAAAAATCCTGGAGCGGCAACTGCTCTGCACAAAACCTGGTGAGAGCACATACAGAGCAGATAAGCCAGTGGGTCTGGAGGGCAGCGAAGAGGCACATCTCATTACAAGTGAAATAACAAGTTCTCATCCTTGCCTCTCCCACTATCCTTTTATCTCATTTCACCAACCTGGGGGAGCCATCTGCCTGCCTTGTCCCAGCCAGAACAGCAAGAAAAGCATCCAGATCCTGCAGCATAAACACACGTACAGATGATGGAGTGAACAAAGAAGAAAAAAAGATCAGGATGGAAAATGAAAGAAGCAGCAACTGAGATTCTCGTTACCTGGATAGCGAGTAACCCACAGACTCCATCTGTCCCCAGGGACCTGTGCATGGGCGGCAAAGACTTTGAAGTAAAGTTCACCCAGCTGTAGAATTCAGTCAGACTCAGGAGAAAATGTACAGCTGACCTTTTACAACAGAGATTTTGCTCTTTCTTCTCCAGGCCCCGTGTGTGGATCAGGAGAGGCCAGTGGTTTCGATTGCATGGGAAGCCTGGGCTGAGTCCTGCAGTGCCCTCCAAAGTTATCTGAGCTCTCGGCAGTGGGAGGCTGTGTCTCTCTTGCTCAGCCCCCGGGAGGGCACAGCACCCTCCTGCCAGGTATTTGCAAGGTCAGAAGTAGCTGCTGAGCCTGATTTTACTGAGTGCAGCAGGGGGTGCTCTGAGCTTTCCATCAGCCCCTGGGAAGCAATCTCATTCCCTGTAAGCCAGTGGGGTAGCTTTGGCTTCAGGTCTCAAGTGCACATGAAACATTTCCCCGGAGGTATTTTAATTGGGTCTATACAGGAAATACATTTTTGTTTCTGTGAAATGTCCCAATGACCCAGCCATGCCAGAGATAACAGCAGTTCTTTGGCAGCGATGCATTTCACTTTTATGGATCCAGTTAGCTCGCCCTTTGATTTGTTTGATTATTGGAGAGTGTTTTTGTGAAAGCATCTTGTTTTCAGAAGTGCTCTGATATCACTGGTTTGGTCGGACCATGTGCAGGTCTGTGCTTGGCCCAGCATGCTGCCTGGGAAGAGGGAGCCACTGGAGCTGGTGGGAGCTGTGGCCTGAGACTGGCAGTGCCCCAGGGGAGCAGAAAGGCTGAGAGACCTGGTGAACCACTAGCACACCTTGTGTGGCACGGATGAGATAGGGTGGGGTGAGAGGTACAGGACATTCAGGCTGCCATTTTAGCCACTGGAACCCAGAGTTCAATCTCCTTTTGGTCCCCTTTTAGGGGTGTTACCCAACCATTGGCATGCGTGAGCACAGCTGGGCAGCAGAAACAAGATTGACCCCCACACTGCTTTAGGGTCAACAAAAGCCAGTGCCCACTCACAGACATTGAGCAGTCTGTGTTGTTTTCTCCTCGGTCCCCCTTGCTCAGAGGACCTCTGCAGCAATAGCAGAACCCATGAAAAACCCAATACAACCATCCTGCAATAGACACACTCACTTTATACAGCGGGGACCGATGGCATGCTTATATAAGTACTCTGGAGCACAGCCCCAGGGCTTGAGAAATCTAATTTTTGTCTGCTGGTCACAAGACCCTTTCCCATTCGGCAGGAGCTGAGGTCCAACTTCTGCAACAAACTTCTCATAAGCCCACACAGAACTCGCCGCATGATCCTCGCCTGCGGTAACTCTGCGTCCCCGGACTCGGAGTGACTCTTCATTGAATCCAGCTGTGGCTGGAATTCGGCTGGAAATGGTGGTGCTCAGATACCACAGTGATGAGTGTGGTGTAACAATGAGATTTTGATTTTTGAGTGAAAACTTCAGTATATTTGGACAGCAAGCTGTTCCAATTCTGATAAGCCACTTCCAAGAGCCATGTAGCATCTCTCCGAGATACTGGGAGTCAAGGTCTGAGGGAGCCGTGTTTGAAACAGTGTGATTGCAATTTATTAATGAACAGCCAGCCAGCACGACAGGTACACAACAGCAGCTAGCATGCACTCCTTGCACAAGCAATGGGGAGATGAATTTCCACGTACAACTTTGTGCAACTCGGACCACCGTGATTACTTTGTTTCTGGCATTAATCACGGCTCTAAATATGGCAGACACGACTTTGGATGGGATATAGCAGTTGCGGTCAGTGTGTGATAGCCAGCTGTTGGCCTCGTTGTCAACCAAGCAAAGCAAAGCAAGTCCAGGTCAAATGGTCTTGGCTTGCAAAGATCACTTAAGTGCTGCGGGAAGCATTGTTAGCATTGGGTGGCTGGAGGCATCGGCTGCTTGTGGTCCCTAAAGTCCCTTTTGTACTTGTTATAAAGGTAGGGAGGATAAACTTGTGCATTACAGGTGGTTGTATTTTGTCTGCTCAGTTTTCCTTGCTATTCTGGCTGAATAAGAGCACCCATCATAATGTTCTTGTAGGGTAATAAACAGCTGTTGTGTTTTGACATTGAGGTGATGGTATTCTGTGGTGGATAAGATGATTCATGGCTTGGGTTCTTTTGAGCTGAAAGGTACTGTATGAATGTAATGTTTTCTTTTCTTTCTCTCTCTCTTTTTTTTTTTTTTTTTTTTTTTTTTTCTTTCATGGGTTTGGAACTGGGTTTTGCATTATATGATGTGATTGAATGTTTAAAAACGGCCACTTGGAGCAGCATACGTATAGCACCTCTCCCCGCAAGGCTTGCTTTTGGTGGTTGAAAAAGGCTCCAACCCTTTGAGTCACAGTGTTTGTCTTTCTGTTGTTCTGTGGCACTGAAATCCCCAGGTTACTTAAATCCTACAGAAAGAGACTTTTTCATTTTTCACTTTTTTTGTTTATGAAGTCAATTATAACTTTATTTCCAACTGGTTAAAATGGAAGATTTTTTTTTTTCACTAGATCCCGTATGATGATTTTAAGTAAGCCTTACAGTTTGATATTGGAGTGTAGAATGGAATAAAATGGGACCCATTGTAGGGCAAAAAGAAATCAATGAACAATAAATGGGAAAGGAAAGGGGTGAAGTCTGGCTTTAATGTACCAAAAGCAGAATATTTTTTTTCAGAAATGGGAGAAGCCAAGAGAAGAGATCCTGCCCTCCTTGTCCTCTTGCAGCTGCAGGACTGGTAAATCTGAAATAGAGACAGAAATATTGCTATTTCTGTGTTTCTAAACCTAGAAATAGCTGCCCAAAAGGGTGACCTAAGACTTGACAACCAATTAGAGACACAAGGAAAATCTTCAAGAAGGAGGTGCTAGACCTTTTTTGATTGGAAGATCTGAGCCGTGGAGTAAGCTGAGAATTAGGTATCCAGGCTGCAGGTTCAGTGGATGAGAAATGGGAATGATGCTAAGCTTTATTGCCGAGACATGTTTTCTCAGGCTGTGCCTCTGTGAGACACAGAGAAGTGCCAGCGATCTTCAACTGCAGGGGAGCATTCCTGCTCTGGAAGGGGCTCGACCACCAGAGTAGGGGCATGTGCCCAAGCTCTGCCCTGCATGCTCTTTGCATACACCAGGAGCTTGTAAGTGCAAAGGGCTTTTAAGTCCCAGGGGAAAAGGAGCATAGTTCTGTTTTAACTTCATACGGTACCTCAAGGTAACCTTGTTGATGCAACTAAAACACTCCATCCTTATTCATATGCATGCATAAGGCTGAGGCCTTACTGTTGTGTGCAGATGTTACAGACAAAAAAATACCCTGTAAGGAACAATTACAGAATAATCGGCTGAAAGAGGTAATTTCTTCCTATCCCCATGAGCTAGTAGTTGGCTTATACCCTGGACTATGAGGGTTTACATTCCTCGTTTGTTATTATAAAGCTATTACTATTATTATTGTCTGTATAATGTGTGTTTAGAAAGTGCCCTTGTGTTTTTGTCATTTTTAACCTTTAAAGTATGCCACACTTAAGTTCGTATGCACTCCAAAAAACAACACTTATTATCATTGCATGCCACTAAATTGTTTAAGTGGTGGAAAAAGCACAAACAAGCAGACCTGTATAATGGTGGGCTTTCAATTTTATTATTTTTTTTTTAACGTGCTATTGGTGTTAATTTCTGTGTGCCTGTAATGTTTGTGTTCACTGTAACTGAACAATAGAACTTTGTTTTTGTTCTTTGTGTAAATTAAAAACATCTGTTCTCTTTATACGAAAAGTTGTTTTTTAAAAGAAGCTGGTCTGATCTAACTAAATACCAATGCTGTGTCCACAATGAGTTACTATTAATATTTGGGAAAGGCAACCATCCAAAGCAAGTGTAATGTCAAATCACTGGCGGGAGTGCATATTTATTGCTAGAAGTGACAGATAAAAATGCAGAGGTTACAAAAACAAAATTCTTGTGGATGACTAATGATGCGTATATATGCCCCCAATGCCCCATCACCACATTTGCAATTGGCAGGGTGTTCTCCACAGCCTCCCGCTCCCCAGGATTAATCGACAGGAGACTGGTAGCTTGGCACCCTCCCTGGAGGATCGACGCTGCTCCCACCTTCCCTCCAGCAAGCCCTGAATGGAGTGACCTTCACGGCGTGCAGGAATCTGATCTAATTCATTCGCCTGACTTTCCCCCCACCTAGCTCTGGTATTTGATTGCAGGGGTTTATGTTCCATCAAGGGCATGTGGCTTTTTTTTCCATGCAGGTGGAGGAGGTGGAGCACCCAATGCATGCTCTTGCAGCGCCTGTGATGCCGGCTCAATGGATGTCTTCAGAGCTGTCTGCGAAGTCTTGATACGAACAAGCTGGCAGCCTAAGTCTGGAGCCTGTCGTCTTCCTCCCGAGGAGCAGTGCTGCACTCAGCAGTAGCCTTTGCTGGAATAGCTGGAGGTTATTTCAGGGAAATAAATGCACTGTTTGTGGCAGAACGGAGGTCTCAGAGGTTCAGAGCTGTCTGCCTAAATGCACAGCCTTGTCACTAAAGTATTTGAGTACCTTGGAGACTATGAAATTATCCTCACAGACAGACATCTTGGGAAGGAAATACAGATAATTAACATTTATTGAGATCTAAAGGGCACTTCTGTTTAGCACAGCTATTAAGCTCTTGCTTAAATCTCATTTATTTCAGTAAGATTTAAATGTATGAGTAAAGGCTTTCCAGATCCGGGGCCTACAGGGCCCAGATCTGCTTCTTCCCTTCTTGCTACCCACAGTGCCCCATGCCAAGTGTGTGCTGCCTCTCACCAGTGAGAACTGGGAAGAAAAAGGGGCTGTGTTAAAAGAATTAGATGCTTCATTGAGATTATTCATTCCCACCTCTTTTCACAATATCTCTGTGCTTCCTACTGCAGTGCCGCCCTGCCCCGTACCTGGTCCCCTCTACCTGCCCTCGCTGCAGCTCATGGGGCCGGGGAAGCTGCCTCCCGTGGAGGCCAGCTACCATCAGCCGGTCGGTGGTATTTCGCCTCCGTGTCAGGCACCATCGGCCGTCTCCAGGATCCAGCTGAGTTCAGAACTTGCTGAGTCACATTTTCACCACGAAGCACTGATGTGCTTCCCGAGAGTCACACTGTTATAGGCACGGCTTGGCCGGAGAGGAGCAGACAGTTCTCACCCTGAAGCGCATCCAGGAATGCTGGCAAGAAGTTGCTTTTTATTTCCTATCTCGAGTTACCGCAACATGGGTTAGGACTACAAAAGCTTGAAATCCCTGGCAAGCTAACACTGTACATCTGTCTAAGATGACGGCCAGCATGGACAACTGCGGGCTTCAGCCCATGACCAGTATGAAGCACTTTGCTCCTTGCTGAGCAGCTGTCATTAACAGTGATCTGTGGGGTTTCTTCCTGATTTCACTTCATGATTTGCATGGCTGCTTTCCCCTCTAGCGAGATCTTCACACTTGTCTCTTTGGCTGTAGAGGTGATCCACCAGCTGGAGCTGCTTGTTAATTGTTCTCATTGTTTTGCTCTTGGCTGTTGTGTCTGTCTGCTTGATGAGCCACAACCTCGTGAGTCCCCTCAGATGGATAGGGACAGAAAGACAACCTCAGTTCTTTCAGCTGCAAACTGGGGATAGTGTTTGCTCCCCAGGGTGGCTGTGATGGATTAGCAGCTTTCCTAACGGCAGAAATTGGAGAACTAAAATTTGGTGCCCCACTAGAGCAATTGGACATTTGCCTGCATTTCATGAAGGACCTGTCAGACTTCCCATCCTCTCAGCAGGACCTGGGGAACAAGAAGCTGCCTTTATGGTCCACTGTGAGGACACAGTGAGATACAATGCCACCTGTGTTGCACTCTTTTGTTCCCTTACGAGTTTAGTTGCTCTTCAAAACTATTTTAGCACTATTTTATCCCCAGTTATCCAGATTGAGTTATGGGTGATACTGCTGTCACCTGCAAGCGTGACACGTTATTTCTTGGGATATGGCTAGGACAACAGCTGTCTCAGCTGGCCATATTTTGAAGATCTGTGCTAAAAAAAAGCAGCTGCAGGGGCTTTGCAGGGTCCTCTGCCCTGCCTATGCTCTCCTGTCAGTGCAGCCCTAACATGGCCGGGGACACTGGGCAGAGTGACGGTGCCACTGCAGTAGCCACTGACGGTGCCACCACAGTGACGGTGCCACTGCAGCAGCGCTGCCCACAGATCCCTCTGCGTGTGGAGCCTGTGCCTGCTGGTCAGAGCATCCCCATGCAGCTGGGTGTAGGAAGACTTCTCGGTTTCATGCAGAATTGTCTCCCTGCGTGGGTGGCAGGTTTGCCACAGAAATGCCGTCTGTGCCGCCCACAACCTGTCCTCAGTGTGGGTTCAGGGCTGACAGCAGCACGCCCTGCAGACACTGCTGCCCAGCCACGCTTCACTGACAGACCCCTTCCCAAATGTCCTTACACCTCCGGGCCCCACTGGGGAGGAACCTGCAGGGCCCATCAGTACTTTCCTGTTGCTGGTGCATTTTTGCTGTGAGTGCTTTTTTTGCCTTTTCCCATTAGGTGTCTCCCTTTTCCTCCTTTTGAACGAGCTGGAGCTGTGTGTATGATGTTGGATGATCAGCTCTTACAGCACTGGTCCAAACTGGGACACCTGGTGAGCTGCTGGGGTCAGAGATCCCTCCCAGGGTGTTTCTCTGTGTTACAGACACATGAAGGAAACAAATGCCAAGATAGTCACAAAGCTGCCTATCCCCTCCCCAGATCCTAATGCGAAATTATGGCAATGATGTTCCTGAGCCATTATCTATGGGGAGAATGACCATTTTGGGCTCTTGTGCCAATGGGATGAAAAATTCTGCCTGAGCCAACATCAAGGCCTGTTAATGCTGCTTTGCTGGGAGGCTTTTGACTGTCTTCTCTGCAGCTGATTTCTGCAGAAACTTACCTCTCTGTGTAGGTCCCTGTGTAGCCCCTGTGACATTTCATGGAGCTGTCTAAAATAATTCAGGTTTTGTGCATCTTGATGCTGGGCACACATTTCTGCTGACCCAATATTATTTGGTGCTCAAAATACAGCAGATTGTGAAGACAACAGCAAGGACAGCATCCTGAATGCTGCACCATTCAGAGATCATCCAGTCTCTGCCATGGCTTGCTTCTTGTCTACAAAGCACCTTGCACGTGGATTTATATGGCACTAAACCTTTTATGGCTGACTACTTTATTTTATTCTTAATTTACATACAACACTGAAGAGCTGCCACTGGCACTCCTGTAGTGTACACGTCTAGGTCATCTTGTCATTATTTTGTAGAGAAGAGGACTTAATATTCTAAGACTTAGGTGCTGGAGTGGGACTTGTTTTTTTTTTTTTTTTTTTTTTTTTTTTTTTGTTCTGGGCATGGGTTCCTGTTGTTGGCAGTGGTGTTAGCACAGCTGTCACACGAGCAGGGGCTGGTTGGCCCCAGATGCAGCTGCATCTATAATCTTTTGGATAGGTTGACTTATTTAAACATCATGTAGCATCTGGTCTGTGTGGCTGGGGTGACTTACCAGAGGTCACACAGCAGAGACTGGGATGCAGCCCAGCTCTCCTGCCTCTGATCCGCTGTGCTCAAACTTTTACAACTAGCTTCTCCACCATGGAGTGACATTAGTGTCACTCTAGGCAAGAGAGGTGACGTAGCTGTAGCCAGGATGGGGAGATGTGGAATACAAGGTGATTGGAAAATTGTCTGGACTGCTGTGATTGAAGGTCAGTGAGCTGAAGTCTGACACTCCTTGGCTGTTGGTAATAAAGTGGATAGGGCTCAACAGCTTCATCAGTGCCCTGGGTGGTGGGATGGGAGGCACCCCAGTGATGTGTGGATGATACCCAACTGAGGGGAGCATTGGGTGCACTGGAGCTTTCACTGCTATGCAGGGAGACATGACAGAGCTGAAGAATTGGTCAATGGGAGCCTCAGGAAGCACAACAAAAGAAAATCCAAAGTCCTGCATCTGGGATGGAGTAACCAGCACAGGCTCCAGTACAGACTGATGACCGGCTGCTGGGATGCAGCTTTGCAGAAAAGGACCTGGGGTTCCTGGTGGACACCAAGTGGACCAGAAGTCCATCGGGTGCCAACATGGCAGTGAAGCTCCTGTGCACCCTGCTTCAACAAAAATGTAGCCAGCAGCTTCAGAGAAATTATTATTCCTTTCCATCTGTTGCTTGCTGGGTCTGGAGCACTGTGGCCAGTTTTGGGCCCCTTGGTACAAGAATTACATGGACAAACCCACGTGAGTTCAGTCAAGGTCACTGATCTGGCTGGAGGCTGGAATACATGGTATATAAGATGAGGCTGAGAGAGGCAGGCTTAGTCAACCTGGAGAACAGGGGCTAAGGGAATAGTTGACTGTTGTGTCCAACTGCCCAAAGGAAGGTTGCAGAGAAGGTAGAACTGGCCTCTGCTCAGGTATTCACGGCAAGAGGGCAAGAAACAATAGTCATAATATGCAGCAAGGGAAATCCTGATTGACTATAAAGAAAAAAAAATCATAATCAGTGGTTAACCACAGCCATAATTGCCCTGAGAAGCTGTACAATCTCCATCCCTGTAGATTTTCAGAACATGACTGAACAAAGCCCTGGGCAACCTGATCTAACTTTGAAGCTTTCAGCATGAGTTCTGACCAGATGACTTCCAGAGGTCCCATCCAACCCAATTTATTCCATGACTCTACAATAGCTGGATACCTTCAGTATAATTCGTGCCGTATTCCCCAGTGAACTGGACTGAATCCGTAGTCAGTACTGTTTTCACAGGCACACCTTTCATTACCACCAAATATATCACAAAGGAGAAAAAAAAAATCCAACACGGAGAGGAAAAATTGAAGCAAAATAGTGTGCAAGAGCTAGACAAAAACTCCAGTGTTTCAAAGCTGCTGGTTGCTGCTAGTGTTGGCATGAGAGGAAGCATAAAGTGGATTAAGTGCAAGGGCAAACAATCTGCGGCATTCTGCTAGCAGAGTCTCCTGTCATCCTCCCGCTTTTCAACATGATGGTGATCCAAGCTGTGCGGAGTCTTGGATGCGGCTCCAAGCGCTGAATCATTTTGACTCCCCTCCCTCCCCTGCAATGATCACACATAGAAAACAGACATGACTGAGAGAGACTCGGGCCAGTTTATAAAAGGAAAGTCACTTTTCAGCACAGTCCTCCATGGAAAAGGATTGTTTGGTTTTGTTGCTTAACAAACACCCTGATGGCCTGATGAGAAACATTTGTCAAGCTGAGTTTCCTTTCTTGGACTTGAGGAAGGTAGGGTTAGGGAACTTGTTGCTGCAAAAAGGTGTTTGTAGGCTTGAGGTGGGATCTGCCCCTTGGTGGCCTTCCTCTCCCACAGCCCCCAGTCTTGTTTCAGTACCAAGATGCTGCAAATGAGTAATTTACCTTCCGTTATGCCAGAAGAGTGCATTGGCAAGGTAGTTTTAATGTGGCGTGAAACCTTTATTAGAAAAACGTTTAAGCTACAAATTGAAACTCTCAAAATGATGTAATACTAGCTCTGTTCTTGTAGTAGTATGAGTGAGGATATGAAGTTGTAACAAGCTACTGGCATTGGCTTCTGTATACAGAATGGACCCT